TTAAGTAACACCTAACAGTAATTTAGTTTTCAAAGGGGTCACTTAAAAAATAGGGATTGATGGTGAAAACGGGCATAAATCATTTAGTTAGTTATAAAAGTTGGCCCAGACACTACAATGAGCTCGCTATTCCTTAAAACTCATTCTGTATATTCAAAATTATAACCCACCACCATAATATAATAAGAAAAATAACTGAAAGGCATTTAACCTTTCGGAGATACCGATAAAAATAAGATTTCAAATCATCATTGAATAAAAAAAGTTCTCCCTAAAAACATATTTCAAATAAAAACTAGCGAGCATAGAAATATATCTAAAGCATTCGTTCCAAACATCACTCTATTACCTAAATACAGAGAGAGTTTGCGCTATTCCTTAAATTTAGGGTCTGTTTCGTTCTATAATTTGATATAAAAAGAAAAGACACGACAGTGCCAGACAATATGACATTCGTTATAGATTTCGATTCGATTACACCGTACTGTTACCGTTTTTACACTTAGAAACATAGCGAAACGATTGTAACGATGTAATAAAACACACTGTAACAGAAAGAGACCCTAAATAAGAATTTAATCTAGCAAAGTTAAATACTACTTTTTTTATTCTAAAATACAAAAAAAGTTACATAAAGCAAAAGAAAACAAATAATAAAATATTATTCCAATCTGTCTCTAGCAAAAAAAGTTTAAAAGAATTTTTTAATAACAATACAGAATAAAAATAAAAGACAGATTAAAATAAAACTACAGATAACATTATAACCACTTTCGTTTTTAATACAACAACAAAAATACCGTTACAAATACCGTTATTTTACAGTGCGTTTTGAAAATGAAACTATACACCCGCTAGGTGGCGCTGCAAGTAAGGAAAGTGATTACAGTGGTGTGTTTGTCAGTTGTTAGTATCAATGATTGTGAATGAAATACGTGCTTAAATCATGCTTGAGGGTAGGGGGATATTTGACGTCAAATAATGTACAGTGCCGTAAACTCTACATTATTTCAACATTGGCAGAATCAACGCGTTAACTTCGCGTTTTGGTAAAAAAAAAACAGCATAATCTACTTTTTAGAAATATGTATCTGTTACGGTCAAAGTGATAAATGTGAAAATTATGAATCATCATCATCAACAGCCCTTTAACAGTCCACTGCTGGACTATGAGCCTCCTCCACTATGGTGGAGGGATTTGCCATAATCTCCACGCTTGGCAGGCGGGTTGGAGATCGCAGTTTAAAAGATTGATGTTTTTCAGAGAGCGCTGCTGCCCATTCTCTGTTTGTTGTGTAGTCCCTAAGTCGCCTCTTACGACACCCGCGGGAAGAGTAGGGGTTGGTGACAAATGTATTCTACTCTGCCGTCACCACACGGCTTAGGAAAATTATGAATAATCGCCAGTTATTATGAATAATCACCGCATGATTTGGTAAACGTGATTAAAATGAGGTCATTTATGTGTGTATAAAACTAAACAGGCGGCTTAGGGGTGGCTCAAGGGCCACCCCCGCCGCACCTTAACCTATTTTTCACTTTAAATCAAAACATTATGTTATAGGCATCATGGAAAAGTAATATTATGCAAGAAACATTAAAAACTCATTATGCCAAATTATATTAATATATGACATCAAATCGTTCAAAAGTTTGGCTGTACACGAGCACGTACACAAGATGTTGTTCTCTTTTATGAAATTTGTTAGTACTAAGGTTGAATTATTAAATAATCACTGTTAAATGTGATTAATTTATCACTTTTACCGCGACTGTCGGTAATTATTCATATGTAACCGGTTATTATCAATAATTTTCAATTTATCACATTAACCGTAACATATCCACCGGCTAGATAACGAATCTGTATTTTTACGTACTACAAATATTATGTAACTGAATGGAATATAATTTTTCGTTTTATTCACTGTTATTAATTTGTTTTACTGACCTCATATTGTTTGTTTTCGTTATAGATATTTTATTAAGCATCCCAAAGCGTTTTCAAGCGGTGACATTTTCATATGCCATTTTGACAGCCTCAAAATCGAATGAATGATTGAATGGAGTGGTTAACTTAGTAATTCACTAGCACCATATCCTACCAAATAACAGGTAAATGTCAACTCATCTGTCATATTAAATATTATGTCATAAATTTTATGTCAGTACACATTTACAAAATAATTTTTCCTCTGTGGTCGAGGATTCCGGGTGAAGATAGTTTCCACCATCGGCCTGATCATCACTTCCCATCAAGTGAGATACAGGCCAAGAGTTAAAAATACATTAAAGTCAAAAAAAGCTATTGAATTGATGATAGCAAGCAATTTTGCTTCGTTTACAATGAATAAAGCATTATGGTATATTTTCCCTCGTCGACAGGGGGCTTTAAAATATTCGTTAATTTTTTTACGTAAATAAATCTAATGAAAATGTTACTCTAACTAACATACAAACAACATACACAAGATAGAAAAAGAAGACATCGCATAACAAGTTGTAATAGATGTGACACTATAAGTATAAAAAAAGTCAGATGTAAATAATCAAATTCAAAATCTTTGTTAGTATGTAGGCCCTTTTCAGAATATACACGTCCCAAATATAGCTTGCCCTACCACCACTTCGGGGCAACATATGGGCTGGAGCTGAGAAGTGGCCGAAGAAACTCAGTCACCTTTGACAGCATCTTATTTATTATTGAAAATATCATTTACAAGATATGTAATATGTGCGAGCTAGGCAGGTACGTATTTATCTGACTGACAGCGTTATTTATAATGTCAAATAACTTATCAAAACATTATCAGTAATGGGTGAAACTGGGCTAGTAAATAAATGTACTATTTTTTACAAGTGTCACATCTATAACTGGAAAAATTAGTATATGCAGTATGATACAGGCATGACATGGACCAAACATACAAACAAATAGATATACACATAAAAAAATGATTTCGCTTACTTTATGCTATGTTGTCATATCCCAATGCGCAATGGTGTCGTTTCATTTTCAAAAACACTCAATAAAATACCGTTATTAATAACGTTACGCGTTTTTCAAAATAACGAGTCCTTAAACGGTTTATGAAATAATTCACGTTACGCGTTATAACGTTATTCAAAATAACGAGTCCTCAAACGGTTTGTGAAATAAGTGCGGTGTGTGTTATTCAATAATTATGTAAAAATAAATTATGTTCACACAAACTGCCACCATGCGTGTAAAGAAACCCTTGTAAATTATTAAAAGTGAAATAAAAATTTAAAAAATAATTTTTTCTTGCAGATTATTTTGTGTTTTTTTAGCAGACATAAGATTATGTTATTTTACGGCACTAAGTTTGTTTTTTCAATATCATGTTTTACGGCTCTGAGTTGAACACTCTAAGACCTAAGTTAATAAGAAACATTCTATAAAAATGTGTTGCTTAAATTAAGCACATAATATAGCAACAAAACAAGGCCCCACATAAATAGTTTTAGTTATTTGAAAACAGTTACTCTGAATTTATGTTCGTAAAAAATATACACACATAGTAATTAATACGGCTCAAAATCGCTCAAATATTCGCTAAAAATTCCACTTTCGTTTGTAATATTTTTTTGGTAATGCGTTTATATGAGTTAATAGATCACCTAAATAAAAATGGCAAGGATTGAAATCAACAACCTGTATAATTATTTTTGTAAAATAAAATCTATTGCAACTGCGTAAGTTGTATTTATCTTTAACTAGTTGACCCGGCGAACTTTGTTCCGCCTTAATGGCAATAAATAAGCAGACTTTTTTTTTAATTTCGAACGGGATAAAAAGTATCCTATGTCCTTCTCCTGGCTCTAAACTACCTCCCTGACAATTTTCAGCTAAATCGGTTCAGCCGTTCTTGAGTTATAAGCGAAGTAACTAACACGACTTTCTTTTATACAGTGTGAGTCACGTTAAAGTGTACATATGAAAATAGTTGAAACTAGACCTATTTTTATCGACAAAAAAGAGGTCAAAAATTTTTTGAGATTTTTTTTTAATTTTTTATAGAATTTTTTTTCTTCCAATTACTTATTGTAAAGAAAACGTAATAACTTTTAAACTAAGCGAAATATCCTGATAAAATAAAAACAGTAATAATGCTAAATAACAGGCAATACTAAAAAAATACATAAAATACACAAAAAATGCCAACAAATAATAAAAAGTGATGCTTTTTTAATAGACGTAGACTAATAAATTTACATTCGTTTTGTAGAATAGCTCAAATACTAATAATACAATGCAAATAAAACATACCTTAACGACCTGGTTTTTCTTGTGTTGGAAAATAACTGAAAAAGAAGTGAAAAAAGTCATGTTTTTTTCTAATTAAATCCATTCTTACTCCCTTAAAATGTATGAAACTTGTATCTGTTTTCTACTTCTGCTAATAGATAATTTTATTGGCTATCGCATGATATAAAATTTTTGCTTATTAGTGTTAAGCTACCCACGCTTTCACTTGTTTTTGAAGGAAGAGGTGAAAACTAAAAATTAAAAACTTAAATCCTCGTAATTTTGCGAGAAATGGGTCAAGCCCCAAATTTGAAGTATTTTCTTCGATAAAATTGTCCATAGATTACGCCCTTAAAGTTTGATCACTACAAGCCCGGACACACTGTATAGATGTGTTTCAATTAAACTAAGATATACGAACGTAAGTTCCTGTGAAACTGTTTAGGTCTTTATTCATGACTTAAGCCTTGTGTATATTGGCATAGTGTTTTGTACCCTATCCCCTCGACTTAGAGTAGGCGCACACCGTTGATTTTTCGTCGGCCGACAGTTTAGTCGGGCAGTTGATCAGTATGGGCATGTACCTATTGGGAGTGCGCACACTACGCCGATTCGATTTGGCCGATTCTTCATACAATTTAAAATCGGGCACAACTATCGGCCAACTAAAAATCAACGGTGTGCGTTTAGTCTTAAGATTCAAAATCCTTTCTCTCTCTCTCTCACTCACCTGAGGACCCTCCTCGTCTTCCTCAGGATCTTTGTACTTCCGCACCATGTGTTCCTCAACAGGCTGGAAGAGGAGCGCCGCCGCCCATACGTTGAGCATTATGCCGCCTAGCACGAGAACCGCTCCTCTGTGAACAAAGGTAGAGTGAGCATTTTGCCGCATGGATCTTTAAAGATAAATGACGCTGATCATAATGCCGCCCAGTACGAGAACCGCGCATCTACAGACAAAAGTACAATGAGCATTTTGCCGCTATTTGTATTTCCGTCTCCGGACAAAAAGATGGAATTGAGCATTTTGCCACTTAAAGATAGATAAATAAATAGTAGCACACACGTTGAGCATAATGCCACCCAGAATGAGAACCGCTCCTCTGCGGACAAAGGATAGAGTGAGCATTTTGCCGCTATTCGTATGCCCGTCTCCGACCAAAAAGATGAAGTTGAGCATTTTGCCGCTTACAGATTTATTTTATTTATTAGGACAACCAACAAGACAAACACGCATACATGGAATTACTATAACTAAAAGTGCTTAGAACTAAGTGTTGTCTTAATGTTGAGCATAATGCCATCCAGAATGAGAACCGCTGCTCTGCGGACAAAGCTAGAGTGAGCATTTTGCCGCTAGTCACATATTACTTTGTAGACAGATAATTGTGTTGAGCATAGTGCCGCCCAGCAGGAGAACCGCTCCTTTGTGGACAAATGACAAGGTGAGCATTTTGCCGCTTAAAGATAAATAAATAAGCACGCTCACTTGTATCCGTAGGTCTCCAGCAAGTATCTCAGCACCGGCGGCAGTATAATACTCCCGAAGGCAGAGCACTTCGAGACAGTGGTTTAGACTGGTTTGCGACTAATGGCAATATCGTGTCCGTGAGCGCACTTCTTCGTCGTAGTGATTTAGATTGGTTTAGCCACTTGGCCAGTGGTTTACTCTTTTAGACACTTCACTGTAGTGGTTTAGAGTGGTTTGACACTTCACGGCAGTGGTTTAGACTGGTTTAGACGCTTAGCGGCAATGGTTAACTATTTTAGATACTTCGCGACAGTGGTTTAGACTGGTTTGAGATCATTGGCGAAGCGATATTATGTCCGTGAACATACTGGTTTAGAGTGGTTTGACACTACACGGCAGTGGTTTAGACTGGTTTGCGATCAGCACTCACTTGTACCCGTAGGTCTCCAGCAGGTACCTCAGCACCGGCGGCAGTATGATGCTCCCGAAGGCGGAGCCCGACATACAGATGCCGTTGGCGAGCCCGCGGAGACGGACGAGTGACGTCACATGTACACGCTGTATTCAACCTTATGTAGTTGCAATAAGCACTCACTAGTATCTAAAGCCCGGTCCGTGAGCACGTAAGCAACATAATTACGCGCGAGCGATAAGGATGGGTAGCTTGGGGTCATTGGACAAAATTCTACGTGCTCACGGACCAGGCTTTAGTGGAGCGTCGAGTAGAAAATCGGACCTGATTCGCCGTAGTGGTTTAGATGCACACAGACGCGTCTCGAGCGAGCGGCATTCGCGCTCTCACTGGTATAGATTGGTTTAGAAACTTCGCGGCAGTAGTTTAGACTGGTTTGGACACTTCGCGACAGTGGTTTACTCTTTTAGACATTTCACGATAGTGGTTTAGACTGGTTTACACTTCTCGACATTGGTTTAGAGTGGCTTGAGATTACTGGCGATATAATGTCCGTGAGCGTAATGGTTTCGAGTGGTTTCACATTTCGCGGCAGTGGTTTAGACTGGTTTGCGATTATTGGCAATATCGTGTCCGTGAACTTACTGGTTTAGTGGTTTGACACTTCGCGGCAATGGTTTAGACTGGTTTGCGCTTCCTGGCGATATCGTGTCCGTGAGCGCACTGGTTTAGAGTGGTTTGACACTTCACAGCAGTGGTTAAGAACTTTAGACGCCACTATAGTGGTTTGGAGTGGTTTGACACTTCGCGGCAGTGGTTTAGACTGGTTTGCGATTATTGTGCGCGCAACATTGTACCCTATTGCACTAGTAATAGAACTCACTTGTATCCGTAGGTCTCCAGCAGGTACCTCAGCACCGGCGGCAGTATGATGCTCCCGAAGGCGGAGCCCGACATACAGATGCCGTTGGCGAGCCCGCGGAGACGGACGAAGTATGACGTCACATGTACACGCTGAATTCAACCTTATGCAGTTGCAATAAGCACTCACTAGTATCTAAAGCCCGGTCCGTGAGCACGTAAGCAACATAATTACGCGCGAGCGATAAGGATGGGTAGCTTGGGGTCATTGGACAAAATTCTACGTGCTCACGGACCAGGCTTTAGTGGAGCGTCGAGTAGAAAATTGGACCTGATTCGCCGTAGTGGTTTAGATGCACACAGACGCGTCTCGAGCGAGCGGCATTCGCGCTCTCACTGGTTTAGATTGGTTTAGAAACTTCGCGGCAGTGGTTTAGACTGGTTTAGATACTTAGCGGCAGCAGTTTAGACTGGTTTGAGTTTTGTGGCGAAGGCGTAATCATGTCCGTGAACTTACTGGTTTAGAGTGGTTTGATACTTCACGGCAGTGGTTTAGACTGGTTTACACTTCGCGATGATGGTTTGAGATCATTGGCGAAGCGATAGCGTGTCCGCGAGCGCACTGGTTTAGAGTGGTTTGACACTTCGCGACAATGGTTTAGACTGGTTTGCGATTAGCACTCACTTGTATCCGTAGGTCTCCAGCAGGTATCTCAGCACCGGCGGCAGTATGATGCTCCCGAAGGCGGAGCCCGACATACAGATGCCGTTGGCGAGCCCGCGGAGACGGACGAAGTATGACGTCACTATGTACACAGTGGGCGGGAAGGCTAGACCGGCGCCCGTTCCCACCATTGCTCCGAAACTGGAAAGAAAAAATAATCTATTTGGCACCAAATACATAAACGAAAATCCGGCTCGAAGGACCAAAACTTTATTTGGCGCCAAATAAGCCAAATACACACAAAAATCCGTGTCGAAGGATCATCATTATTACAGCCATAGGACGTTCACTGCTGAACATAGGCCTCCCCCAATGATTTTCACTTCGTTCGGTTGGTAGCGGCCTGCATCCAGCGCCTTCAGGTCATAGTCATAGCAGACTTGTCAACTCCGAAAGGGATCAACACCGTATCGCCTTTCGCGAGTTGTCATCGCCTTTCGCGAGTTGTCATCGTCTTTCGCGAGCTATCATCGGCTTTCACGCGCTGTCAACCGCGAGGCGAGGCGTTTACTTTGCGGTTATCCGCACTTATGTGCGTTGCAGTATGGAGTTTAATTCAAAGTATACTGAGTTGATACGGTTACGATCCCTTTCCGGTTTGATAAATGGGCTGACCTTTATGAGGTCGTCGGTCCACTTTGGCACAACTTACCTAAAGTATAGATACGTGATTGAAAAGGCACAGCTGCTGAATATCATCCCGAAGGCCGCGAAGCTACCGCCGATGAGCGTCACCGTCCGGTACGACCACTTCACTGACAGAATTGAGGAGAGAGGCCCTGAAGCATAGAGGAAGAGAAGTAAATACAAAATAATATTAGAAAGAAACAAACAAAACATGTTTACGTATCACACATATTATATTGATAGAATTGAGGAGAAGACCTGAGTACAATCACAGGTTTTTATAAAGTCCGGTCGCCGAGCAGATAGAATTTCGTACAATGACCCCTTTGTCCAGCAGTGGACGTCATTTGGCTGAAACGAACGAACGAACAATGACCCCAAGCTACCCATCCTTAAATTGCTGTCCCGCTCGCACACTCACTACGGTCGCCCGTCGCAAAGTGAGTGTGCGAGCGCGACAGCAATAGGGGAGAGTTCGGTATATTGTACCGCCAGGTAAATTGTACCACCCTCATATTTCGTAAAGTATTTATTGAATGTCTGTAATTGCAACACTCAGCGATACACAACTAAAATCAATTTATATCGGCCATGTGGTTTTTGCCGTGACAACAAACACGTGTGTTTTATTTTGAAAAGTATTTTTTCATTGTTTTCAAGTAACTTTTGACAATACATGTTTAGATTGTAATTTTGTTAAATTTAATCACAGGGTGTTTCTAATATATTATTTAGAAGCGTAAATTAGTGTGGATTACAATTATTTGAAACATTTTTCGGTATTTATAAGCTATATTTTTTACCGATTTTTTAAAAGCACTGTCACTTAGTCGGCTAAATTGTACCACATCAAGTTGTATGGAACTTTACCAAAGGATTTTGAATTTTTTTTTAGTAAATCATATTTAGAAGTTATAATAGCGTAGTTATGTTTGACTAACAATAAATGAAAGCAAAAGACTGGCAAAGTAGATTAGGTACAAGTGTGCGTTACGATAATTGGAATTACAAAACTTGTACTCAAAATCGTGATAACGTGTAAAAAAATATCGATTGTCTATGTTATTAACTACTGTTCCTCTTCGTTTCCTAATTTGTTAAGAATGTATCGTATAATATTTTGCCTTAGTTTTTTTATAGGCTTGAAATTTATTGAAATCCAATTTAGTAACCCTGTGGTACAAATTATCGAACCGGTTGGCTAAATTGGACCGAAGCTCTGAACTCGTACTTTGTTGATTTGTGCTAAATATACCTACAACAATCATGATAATTAATACTTATGAAATATTAAGTTGAATAATGTATCTTTTATTATATACCATGGACATTAGCAAAAACAAAAGAAAACTATGTGTAAAATGGGATTGAAAAAAACTCCCTTATATGTAATTAATGATGATGAATTATAATAAATAAATAAATATCCTTGGACATTTTACACTGCGCCTCTAGTCCCAAACTAAGCAAAGCTTGTAATATGGGTACTAGACGACGGATATAAACATAAACCTTAATTCTTTAGAAATTTCCATCGATGTAAACAAACACTTGTGCACACAATTACACTATAATACTCACGTTTTCTTAATATCATACACATTATTTCACAAGCTCATGAAACCAACTTTATTCTCATGATGAAACAAATATGAAATCTAACATTGAAAACAAAATATTTTAACAAAATATTTGGATGGTGAAAATTTGTGCTTCATGTTAAAATGTCAAATCGACATTTGACGTTGAAATTTAGGTCCTATCTCTGGAAAATCTGTAAGTCATAGACAATATTCATAGATAATAATCTGTAAATTTTATCGATTTTATTTCAAGTATTCAATTATTTCAATGACCATTAATTACTTTGATAATATTAATTTAAAATAAAATATAAACGAGGTTATATTCAACAATCTATTTTTTCTTCATTGAATGCAACAACACACTTTGCGAAGAAGTCTTTGAATTCAGAGCCCCGATTACGGTAATTTTTAACGTCTCCAATCCAGACGCGTTTCTGATTCTGCAATACGATTGGTCAAAACAGCTGACGTACGCTGTTGAACGACCAATCGTATCGCAGAATCGAGAAGCGTGTCTGGATTGGAAACGTTAAAAGTTACCGTAATCGGGGCTCAGCTTTATTATACAGACGAGTGTCACATAAAAAAGGCATTTCGACCACTTTTCGACTGGTTTACGATTTTATTGTGCACTTTGTCTAGACCGACAGTATAATTTAAATTATATTTCCTAAACAAATAAAAAAGGGAAATTTAAATTTTCTTTGATTAAGAAGATCCTATTTTGACGATCACATTACTGATCACAACTATTCACAACATCAATCAGAAGAGGGATTGATCTTAACTATACAAACGATCTTTAAAAATCTAATAATCGTCTGTCGCAGTCCGTAAATGACATTTACAGATGCGATTAACGAGAGATTTTGTCGCATCACTAGTAGATCAACTGACATAGACTAAAAATTCGTCAATGTCAGTTGGCCATATTTGTTTACATTTGGGGAAATTTCTAAAGAACTAAGGTATACTTAAATACGTATAACGTATATATTATACATAGAAAACACCCAGTCCCAGACCCGTCACAGAAATTAAAATTCATCATTTCAATTTCTGCCCGGCCGGGAATCGAACCCGGGACCTCTCGGCATAGTAGTCCGTTCTGAACCACTACACCAAACGGCCGACAATTACACGCAAGCGATAAGGATGGGTCATTGTACGAAATTCTATCTGCTTGGCGACCGGAATTTTAAATTCTATCTGCTCGGCAACCGGACTTTAGAAGATCTACAATGTATGGACAAAAAAAACCCAGACTCACGATAACTTATGACTTAGTTATTAAAAAAATTCTAGCGTTATGAATCGCCTCTCGATCTAAATATTTTTAAAATAACTTGAAAAAATCTAACTGCCTAAGGTGGGAATCGAACCCACGACAATTTCGATTGACAATGGAAGTCGGACCTCATCTCAGATGGGACGAAATGACCTACTTAAATCAGCAGTCCGACACTGACTTCGTTGGGCTATGTTAGCTGTCACTTTATCTAGACTCACGGTAGCGTGTCAAGCCAAGTTAAAGTAACAGAACTGGCGAGCAGCACCGTGTGTGTTACACGAACCATTTGGAGCCACTTTTGCCCTCGATAACTCAAAAACTGACTGTTGATTCTGGGCTGTTGAAACTGTTGATTCTGGGCAGCACTTGGTCCAGACCCTGGCATTATCTGGCTCATAATATAAGTACGGATATTGACTCGGGACTATTCCCACCACTGCAACTCCTGTGTAGCCAGGATCTACAGCTTGACCGCCATAAAAACCCAACCAATGAAGGTCAAGTTTGTCCCGGGGAAAAGTTAAACTGTCATTGGACCCGCAACGAAATTAATCAGAAGAACATAGGTGGAGTTCGAAATTAAGGTTCGACTTCCCTCCATTGCAAAGCGGATGACAGGTGACAAACAAAGGTTTAAAACCTTAAAGAAAAGATTATGCACCACGGACAATAAATATCAAGGGGGCCTATCTTATGAGCAATTAGCAATAACCTGCCAATAATATTTAATTATATTTTAAGTTCGCCTAATGTTAATATTTTCGGCATTGAAGTATAAATAAATAAATAAATATTTTTCACAAAATCGCTTAAAAGCACGAAAATTTTTCCATGTCGCGACAAGATCGGTGTAATAAATTGCGGAATCATATGTTGCGGATATTGTCTCACCTAAACTACTGTATAAAAAGTAACACAGCGCGACGATTCCAGACGAAGCGGACGCGCTGGTCTGGAATACGTCGTTGAATTCCACCAGCAGCACGCCGAAGGACTTGATCGTGCCTGGGATGAGGATGTTGACCAGCGTCGCTCCTGGAATGGAAAAAGGTTTAAATATTAATAAAAAGGCAGGTCAAGCTAATAACCTTGTAATATGTGATGTGGGATAGTGATGATCGAAATTCTATTTAGTTCTATAGTAAAAAATCTACTCAAAAGTGACGTTACGGGACATTTTAACTTGATGTAGCACTGTTATTATTTAATAATGAAAGAAAATAAAAAATACGAGACTAATATTTTCAAATTTTATCTGTCTGAAGGACAAATAATTGAAATTTTGTCATCTAGCCTATTGACGTACTTTTTAAAACTGTCAAAACGAGACTCTCACATAGGTTTTGTATGGCAATACAAGCAAGTGACGTCACTATTTTGTCAACTCAATTCAACTACTTTTTTCAATAACAATGCAACCAAAAGTCTTAATTTACAGCTAATTTAAAACTAATTGAGTTTTTAAGACAAAATAAGTTGGTTATTGCTAATACATAGTCTATTGCTTCCTTCCGAGCGGGTTTTGCTCGAGTACCAAAGTCCAGTTGTTTATCATGTAGTAAACTCTGACACCGCGATGCAGGTTTTTGTAGGCGCGCTTTTGACTGATTTTTGCTTTCTAAAGTGGTTTTGGCCGATTACGAGTTTTGACTGTAAAATATTAATACACTTTTATCTGCTCAAATGAAACGGTAGCCCTGACCTTGACCAACTAACTGTGACACTAATAACCGTTATTTTATTCGGGTGTTTCAATTGACAGTGTTTTATTCTGTATTGTCTGTATACAATAGGCCATACATACGCAATACTTCTTTGTTTTGGTAATAAAATTATCTGTAAATTGTATGGCAACATGGAACAAGAATACGTTACGAAAATACTCGTAGTAGGCTGTTATAACTTGTAAATATGTTGTTTTCCTTGTTTTTGTTGATTAACAAAAAATAACAACGTTTCAGTAAATATTATTTCTTCTTCAGCCGCTAAATGCGAGCGAGCGAGAGGAGTATGCAAAACTGCAAAATATGGTGAGTTTGATAATATTTTAGGGCGCACGGTAGGGTACCAAGCCAAGATGATGACTCAAATGTTGATTTTAGCCATCGGAAAAGGTGCCTTGATCTTGATGTTGATCTGTAATCGCCTCAACCACTACACCCCGACGCTCCGAATTTTCTGGTATACCACCATCGAAGTTTAGGTAATCAAGCATCGCAGCTTTTGACCACTCGCCATGACGTCATCCCTAGTGTTATGTTTCTGCTGCAGGATGGCAACCTTTTTTTGTAATACACAGAGGCGAATTTTCTAGTAGCTACCTACGATCACAAACAAGCCCCCTTTTAAATCAAATCCCGGTTATTACCCAAAGCCATACATGTTGGCCGAGCCTTGACGAGTGTACGCCAATACCAACGTCTAGGCAGTAAATTTGCGTTGCCTTGCCATTGCTCGGCGGCGCTCGCCTAGTTGGTCGAACGGAGGCAAGCACCAACGACCCAACGTGTATACAACGCATTTGCCAACGCTTGCCACGACTCGCTGTCACTCGTGATCACTTGCTGCACTTCGGAACGTTGTCGGTTTTTCGTCACAAATCAAAGGCGCTCGCGCGCATTCGGCCAATAGCGTCCACATGTTTGTCCGTTTAATCACTACGCGGTTAGCGCCCGTCGTAGGTATACGAAGAAATGTCACTCTCAACAAACGACGATATATTAAAATTTTTGGAGTTCTACCAGAATGAAGCGGTTATTCACCCACCTTCTATTTTGTCACACACCCACCACCTTCTTTTTTGTCTTTTTTTTTTCACTACCTTCGTGCGGTACACACTGACATAATAATTATAAGCACACACATAGCAGCAGCTGAAATAGCTTCTACGTCGACGTCCATATTCTTTCAATTCACAATATAAACTGACCAAGCCCAACGTATGGGCATCTTTCAAATTAGCTTGCGTCCATTGGTCTAGGCTCGCGTTGGTCTTTGATTTGCCAAACATGTAGACAGTAGCGCTTGACTTGTGACGATTTGCATAGGCTCGCGTTGGTCTACGCTCGGCCAACATGTAGGTATAGCAGGCTCAACAATTCTTCCGGCCACCCATCCAAGTTTAGCCATCCGAAAAGATGCTTAACTTTGATCGATCTCAGAACGCTTCGACCACTAGGCCACGACGCTCTCAGCAATGTAACGTCAAATTGTCCAGTGTAACCAATCATTTACCTACGAGCACGCACCAGCCCCATTTGCCGTCGGGCGGCGCCATCTCCCAGTCGCGCTCCGGCGCCGGCCCGATCGTGAACCGGCCGCCCACCGGGCCCTGCTCCGAGGGGAGTTTTACTGTGGAAGAAGAAAGGGTATTTGTTAGATTAAAGGTAAGGTAACATACACATTACAGAATTATTTGGATGAGGGCAGATGAGGCCTCTCCCAAGAAAATACTTGGAGGAGGCCTTTGTCCAGCAGTGGACGTCTTTTGGCTGAAGCTAACGAATACACGCACACTTAAGAGAGATGCCACACAGCCGTTGACGTGTGTCAAGGCAGCGCCTCGTCCGGACTTCAGATTAAAGCTCATAGCAGACTGATCAACTCGGAAAGGGATCAACACCGTCTCGCCTTTCGCGAGCTTTCATCGCCTTTCCGCGCTGTCAATTGCGAGGCGAGGCGTTTACGTTACGGAGCGGATAAGTGTGCGTTGCAGTATGGAGTTTCATGCAAAGAATACTGACCGCCTCGAGTTGATACGGTTACGATCCCTTTCCGGATTCATAAATTCTACATCATTAAATCGTTTATCTATCTTCTATATAAATAAAAATGAATTGATGTTCGTTAGTCTGATTAAAACTCAAGAACGGCTGGGCCGATTGAGCTGATTTTGGTTTTAAAATTTTGTCGTAGTCCAGGGTAGGTTTAAACGGTGAGCAAATACGCGCGCGATATTGTTTTTCTGTGACAGACAAAATTCCACGCGGGCGAAGCCGCGGGCGGAAATCTAGTAATAAATAGTATTGTAGGCCCACGCTTAAACGTGCACCGATAGTTTCGCGATAACACATCGTCCTATGCTGCGTGGAGTCAGCTTAATCTTCATTGGTTGGGTTTTTATTGGTGGTCAAGCTGAACGAGAGGTGGGAATAGTCTCGTGCTGGGAGGAGTTGTCAGCTATAAAATGACATCATAACACCTAAATAATTAAAAGTCCTCCAACGCGACTAACTCAACAACTGACCGGATTTTCATGCGGTTTTCTCCAATAGATAAGAGAGATTATTGAGGAAGGTTCGGATACATAATTTGTCAAAGTTTCGAATTAATTGGTTCAATACAAGGATAATTTATAACGATATTAATAAATCGACGCAGTTGAATAAATGATTGAAAGGTCAAAGAAATGGGGAAAAATAAGAATACATATATGTATAAACTCCGTTTAAAAAAAAACTGACTTCAAAAACTAAACACTAAACCGTCTCCAAAAAAATACACTAGAGAGTAGAAAAATAATTACGTTATTTATTTATTAGACAAACATAACCATGATTGATTTGAACTCCTCCTATGTTCTTATGATTAATTTCGTTGCGGGGCTAATGTTAGTCGAACTTTCCCCCGGGACAAACTGGACCTTCACTGGTTGGGTTATTGGCGGTCAAGCTGTAGATCCTGGCTACACAGGAGTTGCAGGTGGGAACGAGAGGTGGGAATAGTACCGTTTATTACCGTGTAAGAAAATCTTAAAATAGCAGTCTCAAAAATAGACATCATTCAGTCAAAGTAGACGACAGTAAATCAAGCTATTGACAGTGGCGTCTTATCTTTTTGCAATACGGTCTATTTTGGAGCAAAAATGTATGGTCTGATGCGATGTTGACTGTATCAAGCACTTGTGCTATAGTAAACAAAATATGTCAACGACTTGAAGGTCAATACCCCGAGATATTTACAAAGACAGCACGTTAAGGTAAACAATGCACCTTATGTAGTTAATAGATAAGTGTTATTTTGCAATGAAAATAGATAGGTTTAAGTGCTGTACATCATTGAAACAACATTGACAGGTGAGGACGAGGATGTTATTTTTCAATAAATTATACGTCAAGAAAAATATGGTGAATTGGACGGGCACACGGTAGTGTAACAAGCCAAGATGAGATGATATAGTCTAGTCTAACAATTTTATCTTGGCGTCAAAGTCCCCCGAGGATTGATAAAAAGATCTTTGTCACACTGGATGTGGTCTGCGGTCAGGTCATAGTACATAATCTATACTTATAATAAATCTGTAGAGAGGTCAATTCTGTACATGAAATATATTTTCAAAATAACTATCAGGGGGTGATTAGTGATCGATACTGATGCCAAAAATGCAATCATTAAAATTTTTGTCTGTCTGTCTGTCTGTCCGTCTGTATGTTCCTTATAGAAACAAAAACTACTCGACGAATTTTAACGAAACTTGATACTATTATTCTTCATACTCCTGGGCAGGTTATAGTATACTTAGGAATTCTCACGGGAACAGGAATTAGCGGGAAAATCCTTTTGTACGAAAAATGTAAACCGCTTAAGTTAGACGCTTGAGTTAGAGCAGAGGCATGGTAGTTACCTTAATAAACTTAAAGCTGAGTTACAACAGGATATTGCAAAATCCCCACGGGAACGGGAGTTAGCGGGATAAAACATTTGTATGAATAAATCTAAACCGCGTAAGATAGATGAAGGGGGTAAAACGGGATCCACGCGTACGAAGTCGCGGGCGGCCGCTAGTCATACATAATGCGGGCTGCGCCTACTTTCATCTAACCGCATACCGCATCTAGAATACAAATCGTTTAGGGACGTTTTGAATGCCGAAACCGTTGTCGTTCGAAATTTCTCATTTAAAATTAGAAACAATATTATTTCATCCAAACGGCAAAATATTCCTTTGTCTGCCAAAACAGATGTCCTAATTTTGACAGGTTGTTGACTGTTGTTCCGTTCCCTGAACGGTAGGTATTTTATGCGGAGCTTGGCCCATTTTTCACTGTTTTTCTTAGAATTTATAATTGTAAATTTCAGCACATTATTTAATCGATTTCGCGGTATTCACAGTTAATTACATCCATTCGTAATTAATACTTGAGGAATGTCAAGGAGGCCGCGTAGTAACTGGTAGCACGTAAATAAATATAGGTAGAAAACTAACTTCAGAGAACAAGGAAAAAGTATATTAATTTTCTTTGACTTTAATTGATCCCTTTCTTTAAACTACCTAGTGTAAGGATAGGTTTTTGAAACAACAAAGAAAAAATGTTAATAAAAATTTAATTTTATAGCAAATTGAACACTTACTTGATTTAAAGTGTTTTTGAAAGAAAATGTATTGGAATTATTGGTTAACTAGCTATTGCCCGAGGCTCCGCTTTCATGTTGTCAATTTTATAGAAATTACTTAGAAATCATATCTAATGTTTCGTATGGCAAAGTAAAAGCCAAAATATTAACATTCCCCCTCCCTTAGTATTACTAGAACCTGCGTAGGTACGTCTGTTTGTTTATACTTTATAGTATCTTATTAGAATAAAATATCGTTTCTTAATTACGTTTTAGTGCAGTTAAGATAAATGCGTCCCTTTATTAATAGCTACCTCGCACAGCTTGGCTGAATGCCAACTGGAGCTGGAGGGAGCATACGGGCCTGTATTTTGACAGAATTATGCCCGTTTTCACCATCAATCCATAATTTTTAAGTGACTCCTAGGCTAGCACATAACAGGAATTTTGTTTTCATATGGGTCACTTAAAAATTAGGGATTGATGGTGAAAACGGGCATTAGTCAGCTATACCTCCCCAACCCGTCTAGCCAGCATGGGGAGTGTAGGCCAAATCCTCCATATGCCTCTGGTAAAATAGAGAGGGTCGTGCAGACTAAAATGAATGATGATGACGTGTCAGCTATAAAACATCTGGTTAGTACATTTTTGCTGCATAATGGCACCTATTTTATCCGCAGTTTGCATGTTATCTTGTGCAGTGTTTAATTTGCTTGATGTGCTGATATACAGGGTGGAAAGGGATGTATCCTGTTTGATGTAATAAGCTTTAAAAGAGCCAAATCAAACTATCTGACCTAAAAAAACTAGGCCTACGATGATGATGAGAAGATGGGCGAAAAGCCATCAGGCTTCAAAGGATATTACATCAACAAATAAATGATCTATGTAATTAAATATGATTATTTATCACGTACTGTCTGCCAAAATAAATATGAAATAAAAATGCCTTTGATCATTGACGTCTAATCTTTAAACAAGTGTCTGTTTCTTTTAACAAAGCTTTTTTCTAAGCACACATCCAACTGTAGTTCGGTCTGTAAATTCCTGATAATCTCCGAAACGGCTGGACCTATATTGATTGAATTCATTAGCAGATGATTAAATGTTATTAGAAGTAACTTGGCTTCTTTTTTTAGGAGACGAAATTAGGGTAAAATCTGTGATATGTCACAAGAGAAAACACGGACAGAAATCAGTTAAAAATTAACAAATAAGCCTTCTGATTAATAAATTACGATCCAATTATACAACCGTATGTTCTATGTCCACAGAATTAGAATTTGTTTACCATAACTTCAATTCCAGTAATTTTCTTTGAAAAACTAATTTTGCTTAAACAACCGTTTTAGTATCTTTTCTCTTTATGCCAATACTAAATGTAGTTTATTAACTACAACACATCGAGTTAAATATGTGTTTGTAATAGAAAATTTGGCTCTTAATAAATTTTTCAGAAGACACCCAATAATTGAGCAAAAAAGGTTTTAGCTTTTAAAGGATAGTACCAGGATGGCCAGGGTTTGGACCAAATGCTGTCCAGAATCAACCCATAGTGCAAGGGTTCCCTAATTTATTTGAGACGCAGTCTCTCAGCGGTCGCAGTTTTTTATCCTTGACTACACAGATGGCTCGCGCCCCCCTTTAAAGGTGTTTGCGCCTCCTTTGGGCACCTAGGTGTATTTTGTTCCTCAGGCCAATACTAATGTAAAGTGTAAACTGAAAGTGCACTATTGGTCTGAGGAACAAAATGCACTATGGGTTGATTCTGGGCAGCACTTGATCCAACTTCCATACATGAATTGTCACTGCCCTTTCCTTTTTATAGTTATGAAACCTCTACTATAATATTAAAACACGAAAGTAGCATTGTCTGTCTGTCAGAATAATGTTTTATAGAAATAGTTTGAGACGTGGGAAAAAATACTAGGATAGTTTTTATCCCAGTTGTTGAAAGGGTTAATGCCTTTCATAGGTACTGAGTCTTCCAGTGACTTGGCCTATTTTAGTTTGGTCGA